TTTCTGATGAAGGGTCTAGGCCCGAAACGTCAGCCTCTCTGCTCCTATGATGCTGCTTGGCCTGCTGTGTTCATCCAGCCCTGCACCTTGTTTACTCTGTATCCAACCCTGTGCAGTTCCTGTCCTGGGAGTGTTTGATGGGGACAGTGCAGAAGGTACAGTGTAGAAATGATTTAATGATCTTGTTTTTAAAAGGAAAGTTATAGCCTAGGATAGGAGGTTTTTCTGTCATAACATTTAGTCTGTTCTCTAGTTATTTAAAGGGAATCTTCAGCAACTATTTTTCTGGTCAGCGTACAAAAGATAGGGTGTAATGTTGAAGGAAGATAGGAGGCCCATGTGGAACATAAACTCCAGCATGGTGTCTCACTAATGATAAACTGCAGTGCTTGACTCCAGAATTGATCATCATCCACAGATACGTCAGAATTTCAAAATACTTCAGATCTATTATTTCTCACTCACTGTGAAGGCAGGCACTGCAAGAGGAGGAACTCTGAAGTGTTGACTGGCTTTCATCTTAAAGCTTTACAAGTGAATTCAAACCCAATTAGGGATTTAAAATCATAATTGAAAATACATTCCAGGGCTTGTGTGAGGGAGGATAGATTTCAGACAGGGGATTTTATGGATTATGTAGATCTTAAAAACTGACTGGACTTGTGACTATCTTTTGTTAAGCTAACAGAGGGCTGTTAGAGCATTAAATGAATCCCCAGAGGACATGGTTGAAGCATTGCATACTTGAAGAGAAATTTGGATAAATCTGGAAAGAGGATGCTTCAGGACTATGGAGAGAGTTGCAGGCAACAGGATTAATTTGAAATACTCCAGCAACAAAATTCTATGACAGGCGTGATAGGATGAATGCCTTCCTTTTTTGCTGTGAACTTTCAATCAAAGAAACCCTACAGTGTGGAAACAGGCCATTCAGCCCAACAAGTTCACACCACCCCTCTGAAGAGCATCCCACCCAGACCCATCCCCATCTCCCTACCCTTTCCCTGTATTTCCCATGTCTAATACCCCTGGACACTACAGGCAATTTAACATGGCCAATCCACCTACCTTGCACATCTGTAGACTGTGGGAGGAAACCAGAGCACTTGGAGGAAACTCACACAGACGCAGGGAGAATATTGAAACTCCACACAGACAGTCAACCAAGGGTGGAATCGAACCAGAGTCCCTGGTGTAGTGAGGCAGCAGTGCTAACCACTGAGCCACCGTGCTGCCAATGTTTAATGGAATTCGACTGGATGTGGATGTTGGTGGTAAGATATGGATGTTGGTGGTAAGATATGGATGTCTTGAGCGTGGTGTGTAATGTCCCTTCCTCTGGACCAGAGACTCCAGTTTCAAGTCCCACCTCAGGACCTGAGGGTTATGGAAAATATGTCACAAAACACTAGGAGCGGGAAGAGGCCATTAGCCTGCTCTACCACTTCATAAAATCATGGCTGATTTCATCTTGCCCATAACTCCACTTTCCTGCCCGTTCTCCTTCAACCCATTACAAATTAAAAAATGCCTATCTCCTTCTTAAATCTACCCAATATTCACCGCACTCTGGGATAGTGAATTCCATAGATTTGTGACCCTTTGGGAAAAGTAATTTCTCCTCATCTCTGTTTTAAATCTGCCACTCCCTGACCTAAAATGATGACCTCTGATTCTAGATTGCCCCAAAGGGGAAACATCTGCTCTCTGTCTCCTTTGTCAATCCCCTTTAGCATCTTATATACCTCATTGAGTCACAGTCATAGAGTTATTGCATCATACAGGAAGGAAACAAACCCTTTGTTCCAACTAGTCCATGCCAATCATAATTGCAAATGAAAGTAGTTCCATCTGCCTGTGCTTGGCCCGTATTGCTCCAAACCTTTCCTATTCATGTACTTATCCAAATGTCTTTTAAACATTATAACTGTACCTGTATCCACCACTTCCTCTGGAAGTTCATTCCACACATAAACCTCTCTCTGTGTAAAAAAGTTGCCTCTCAAACCATTTTTTAAATCTTCCCACTCACCCTTAAAAATATGCCTTGTAGTCTTGAAATTGTCCACTCCAGGTAAAGGAAACCTGCCATTCACCTTATCCTCATGATTTTATAAACCTCCATAAGGTTACCCCTCAAATTACCACACTCCAGTGTAAAAAGTCCCACCTCAATTAGATCTCCTCTCATTCTTCTACTCCTATGGGAGTATAGGCCTAATGACGCCAAGCAGTTGACTATCAGTCTGTAAATCCTTCCAATGGCAGGCAGCAAGAGTAGGCAAGTTTCCTGGTAGGCTAGAACTATGTGGTAGCTGCAATGCTACAGCCTCTCCATGTCAAAGGACTCCACACACACGCATGTTCTAACCATGAGAAAGTGTCATCCATATTGTCACAGAATCCCTACAGTGGTCATTCGGCCCAACAAGCCTGCACCGGCCCTCTGAAGGGCATCCCACACAGCCTTAGGGCCCCACCCTATTTATCATGGCCAATCCACCTAACCTGCACATCTTTGGTT